GTGTTTTTTTTTTTTTTTTGATAGTTGTGGCACATTTTTGTGCATCCTTTACTTATGGGCTGATTTTATGCCTCTTTTTCAAATTGCGAACTATTGCGCATTCATTTTGATTTTTGTACATTTGTATATTTTTCAAGAGTAATCTTGATCTTTTCAAAATCAATAATAAAAAATTTTAAATTTTTCTAAGTGCATCAATATCTTATTGAAAAGTGAAATACAAAATAAGAAAATATCACAATTGTAATAATAATATTAAACATTAATGTAGTCTAATAAGAGACATGAAAGTGACAATCTTAATTATATCAAGTTATAAACAAAACTTAAATTTAGAAAAATTAGATTTTCTAATGAATTTAATTTTGAGTTGCAGTTTAAGTTATAGCACTTGTAGGTTTAAAAGTTTTAGGGATTTTTATATAGGCTAACACACTTTTCAAAACAAGATTAAAACCAAGACAAGATAAGTTATATTGATATCATTATAATGGATATTATAATATAAGGAATGATATCAATACCACATAAAACTCAAAATACAAACATCAAATGAAACAAGCACATAACTAAAACAAAATACATCACAATGTAACACATCACAAACTACTACATCACAATCACATCAACTAAAGATAAATATAACCAAGTACATGAATCACTCTGATGGACCTTGATCTGGAGGAGGAGGAGGTACAGTACTAAAGAAGTTAAAATAACTGCTTATCATAAGCACGTTGGAACTAATATCATCCATCTGCTCTCTCATATACCCCATGTCCTGATTGTTCTGAATATCTTACTGCTGTAAGTGAGTTTCAATTTGATCAAATCTTTAATCAAAATGAGGCTCTAAGCAATCAAATCTCTGAACCAAATCCTGATAATTTGGTTCACTAGCATGTGCAGATTCATGTTCCTCCTCTGAGTCACTAATAACATGTGCTTTACGTGGTTCATCTTTATTGAAGATTGCCCGAAAAGATCCATCATTGTAGTAGAGAGGTTCTTCAAAATCTTCAACTGGATGAACCAATTCATACTTCTTCTCCAAAATGTAGGCAACAAGATGTCCTAAGGATATGTTCTTATTTCTCTTATGGGCGACATGACCAATTTCAGAAAGTCCATAAAGATAGTCAATGATTAGTTGGGCTTCATCTATAGGTTGCTTAGTTATAATCAAGTAGGTTACTGATGAAAGCAGAGGAGTAATGTTGACTCTATTACCAGCTTTAGGAATTATGAAAGTTCAAAGAACATGCTGGATGATACGAACATTGTGAATAAGAGAGGACACTTTAGGCATATGCTCCTTAATATATAATTTTTCTAATCACTTTATTAATTTCACTCTAATCAAAATCAACAGTAGTGGTTATGGTATGGGCTCTAATTCTCTCAGTCCTTAAGTTCACAAAGATTCCTAGGTCAGCCTTGGTAATTTCAACTTTCTTCTTAAAACAGAGGACTTTTACAGAATGGTCGGAGTTAAAGGACATGTTTGCTAGGAAATAATGAAAGGTCTCTTTGTTGTAGAGATGGACTAGTGTGAGAATGAGACCAAATTGAGTTGAAGCAAACAAGTTCATTACCTGAAAGGTCAGTTGATCCTGAATAAGAACTCTAGACAGGTGATCTTAACGGAGGAAAATCTAGGAAAAGATTTTTCATGGGCTTTGGACAGAAACTTATCAAAAGAATTTCTGTGTGGACCCTTGGAGAGAACCTTTTGTCGCATACTTGAAATTGCCATGGATAAGATCTAAAGGAAGAAAGGGTTCTAAAAGGGATGTGTGAGTGTGACTGTTGAGTTCAAAGCTAGTCAATTTAATGAAATACGACTATTCATATAGATGAAATTACGTTCGTCCCGTACGAAATTCAGTTCGTACTGTATGAAAAAATTTCGTATGGACGAATGAATGAGTCCAAAATGAAACTGCTTTTCGTAATCACATAACTTACGAAGCGACCTTTCGTATAGACTTTTGACCAACCGATCGTACAGACGAACAGGAGTTCGTCCTAGACGATCAGAAATTTATGATCGTTTTAATGGCAGTTGAAACGTCTCCCACATCGATTCGCCAAGCGTTTATTCGGATGAACCAAAGGTTCGTACGTACGAATATAATATTAATAACAATCTTATCCATTTACCTGTCATTCGTCCCGTCGTTTCAAAATTTCGTCCGGATGATCGTGACGATCGTACAGACGAAGTAAAAAATAAAAATAAAAAAACTGCATGCAAACAGTTTAAATCCGATAGTTGACACACTACACACTTCATCCAGTATGAAAATATTTTCGTCCTGGACGAATGTCACTTAATTTTTCAAAACATGCACTCAATCAAAACTAAAACACAAACACAACAAAGACAAAATAAAAAATGAAACCACAAACTCAAAATACAGAAAAAAATCACAAACTCAAGGATACACACAAAAAATACTTACAAGAAACACACATCAATATTGCAGAAGAAACATTTTTATTAAGCATTCAAATCGATTACTCCAAGTCTTGTTCTTAATGCACTGAAAGTATCAAAGGCTAAAGGTTTTATAAAAATGTCTACAAGTTGATTTTTAGTAGAAACATGAGTGAGTTCAATTTCTCTTTTGGATACATGATTCCTTATGAAATGATGTCTGATGTCTATATGTTTGGTTCTTGAATGTTGAATGAGATTTTTAGAAATACAAATAGAACTAGTGTTATCACAATAAATTAGAATAGTGCATATAGTTAATCCTAAATCAATCAACTATTGTTTCAACCATAGTACTTGTGACACACAACTTCCTAATGCAATGTATTCAGCTTCAACAGTAGATAGGGCTACTGAATTTTGTTTTCTACTGGACCAAGAGACTAAAAAATTTCTAATAAACTAACATGTTTCAGAAGTGCTCTTTCTATCCACCCTACAACCTGCAAAGTCAGAATTAGAATAACTAATTATTTCAAAAGAAGAGCTAAACTTAGGATACCAAATTCCTAAGTTCTGAGTTCCTAACAGATATCTTAAAATCCTTTTTACTACTATCAAATGTGATTCTTTTGAATCTGATTAAAATCTAGCACACAAACAATCACTAAACATGATATCTGGCCGGCTAGGTGTCAAGTATAGCAAAGATCCAATAATCACTCTAAATTTCTTTTGATCAACAGATTTTCTCTTAGGGTCCTTATCTAACTGAACTAAGGAACTCATAGGTGTACTAACATGTTTAGCATTGTCCATTTCATACTTTTTGAGGATGTCATTAACATACTTTGACTGATTAAGAAATGTACCCTACTCAATTTGCTTAATGCTAAAGCCTAAAAAGTAACATAAATCTCTCATTAAACTCATTTCAAATTTACTACTCATTATTTTAGAAAAATTATCAAAAAGATTTTTATTTGAAGATCCAAAGATGATATCATCAACATAAATTTGTACAATGAGTATATCTTTTCCAACTTTCTTCAAAAAGAGAGTTGTATTAACACTTACTTTTTCAAATGATTTTTTAAGTAGGAAGGTGCTCAATCTCTCATACCAAGCCCTAGGTGCCTGTTTTAATCCATATAATGCCTTTTTCAATTTGAAAACCTAATTTAGGTATTTAGAATTTTGAAAACCTGGAGGTTGTTCTACAAAAATATCCTCTTGAATTACCCCATTTAAAAAGTCACTTTTTATATCCATTTGGTACAGTTTAAATCCTTTTAAACAGGCAAAGACTAATAAAACCCTAATTGCTTCAAGTCTAGCTACAGGGGCAAAAGTCTTCTCAAAATCAATCCCTTCAATCTGATTATACCCCTTAACAACTAATCTAGCCATATTTCTAATGATTACTCCTGAGTCATTCATTTTATTTTTGAATATCCACCTAGTTCCAACTACACTTTGATCCTTTGGCTTTGTAGTTAATTCCTAAACTTTATTTCTTACAAATTGATTTAACTCTTCTTGTATAGCCAAAATCTAAAACTCATCCGAAAGTGCTTGATCAATATTTGTGGGTTCTATTATTAAAATAAAGGTTGAATGATTGACTTCTTTGTTTAATCCACGCATAGTCCTTACACCCTCACTAGGTTCACCAATTATTAATTCATTTTGGTGGTTTTTAGAAAATCTTAAATCTCTAGGCAAAGGGTTTTCTATCTCCAAATTTTCTTCCAAATTTATTTTATTAATCTTTTGGGAATTAATCTCAATCTCATTTTATATAACATTTGGCTCTTCTAAAATTTCAGATTCATCATATACAACATGCGCGGTCTCCTCAATTATCAAAGTTTTTTTGTTGAATACTCTATAAGATTTTCCAACACTTGAGTATTCTACAAAAATTTCTTCATTTGATTTTGGATCAAATTTTTCTAAGGTAGTTTTTTCATTGTTATGAATAAACACCTTACAACAAAAAATATACAAATATGAAAAGTTAGGTGTTCTTCCTTTTAGCAACTCATAGAGTGTTTTATTTAATTTAGATCTCACATTCACCCTATTCAGAACATAACATGCAGTGCTAACCGCCTCAGCCAAAAAATATTTAGGAAGTGAGTATTCTGCCAACATGGCTCGAGCGGCTTTTATTAATATTATGTTCTTTCTTTCGACTACCCCATTTTGCTCAAGGGCTCTAGGTGTAGAAAAGTTGTGATCAATTCCTTTCTCCTTATAAAAATCCTCAAATCTTTCATTCTCAAATTCTCCTCCATGATCACTTTGTATAGTCATAATTTCACATCCTAGCTTTCGTTGAATCCAAGTTGAAAAGTTTCTAAATTCCTTAAATGATTCATTTTTATGAAATAAAAATATAACCCATGTGAATCTAGAGTAATCACCTAGTGTGAGAAAGTCTGGCTTTTTAGTGAGAGAAAATCCCTTCTTGTTTTTGAATTTTTCAAATCCCGTGGATTTTCCTCCGGCTGGTGGCGCCGTCGCCGGTTGCGTCGCTGCGTCTTCGGCCGACGCCATGATTGCTCCTCGTCATCCCAGCTCTCCTAGATTGGTTGGTAAGGAAAGAAGGGGGCTAATGATCAGAGAAGGCTCGCGTTCGGTAATCAAGCCATTGATTGGTTGAAGGCAAAGGTAAGAGGATTGTAGATGAAAATTCTTCTGATTTAGCAGCTGTGGATCGCTCGGAAAACATCCAAAAATGCAATCCGGATTCATCTGAGACCAATTTGAAGGTGTGCGATTTTTCTGGGTTATTCCGTCAAGAACAGAACAGGGGATCTTTAAATCCGGTGGAAGATGGAGCTATTGGTTCTTTCAAAGATCGTTTGAGCGATCCTTTGATTAATAAAGAACAAAAGGAAGTTGAAGAGATCAATGGAGCTTGGTCGAAGCCAAAGAATATCAAGATTGATTTCAAAAAAGATCAAGTTGAATTTTTGGAAGATGGCATTGCAATCAAACTGAATCCTGTGGCTGAAGGGAAAAATTCTGAGGTGCTGAAGAACTCCATTATTTTAAAAGTATTGGGAGGTAATGTACCTTATTCAACATGTAGTTTTGATTTGAGAAAACAATGGAACCAATTTGGTGGATTTCACATGACTTCAATTGGAATGAATTGGATACTTTGTTCTTTTAAAAACAAAGATGTGGTGGATGAAATTTTAAATGGTGGACCTTGGTATGTTAATGGATTCATTGTTGGAATGGATCGTTGGTCTCCTGCATTTGATCCATATTTGTTCAAGGGTATCTCTGCCCCAGTTTGGATTAGACTTCCATGCCTTCCTCTATACTGCTGGGATGAAGGCAACCTTGCTAGTATAGCTTCTCGGTTTGGTACACCTCTCTATTTGGATGGAAATACTTTTAGGTGGGGGAAGAAAGAATTTGCTCGCATTTGTGTGAAAGTTGATCTGGAAAAAAAACTCCCAAATGGTGTGTGGATTGATGGTATTGCTGGTAGATTCTTCCAAAGAGTTGAATATGAAAAAATCAACTTACTTTGCTATCATTGTGGTTGTGTAGGACATGAGCTCAACACATGTCCTGAAAAAGTTGCTCAAGGTATCAAGGATCAGTCTAAGAACACGCCTGAAACCATCATATCTGCTGAAAAGAATTCGGTTGGAACGAAACATAATGCTGTGACAAAGGTGGAGTATGGCCCCTGGATTCATGTTCAGTTCAAAAACAGACGGAACTACAACAATGCTAATGGTTTTAGAAGTAACAAAAGCAACAACATTAAAGAAAAGATAGAGGTGGGTAAACAAAGCATAATTGTTGAGCAACAAGTGCAGATTTCTGAGCAGAATTCAAAAGACTGTCTTATTACTGGACAGATTACAGAAATTAATGGAAAAGCTGCTATGGAAGTCAGTCCAAGATCCATTAGAGAGGAAGTTCAACTAAAAAATGCTTTTGAAATCCTTAGTGAGGAGAAGGATTGTGATAATTCTGAACCAATGGAAGATGACAGAAATCTGCTATATAAAAAGATGGAGGATATACAAACTAATGCTATGGAAGAAGGTAAACCATCTTTGTCTAAATCTGTTAAAAATAAACTTGCAAAGGAACTCAAGTCATTGGGGCCGATTGATCATGATACTAAGAAGAAGAAGAGAGAAGGACGTTTGGTGTCCACAAGAGGGGTTAACTCCCCTTCACTCATTTAAATGTCTTCTCTTTTATTCTGGAATTGCAGAGGAGCTAGGAAAAGAGAAGCTGCTCTGTACTTAAAGGAAGTGGTTAAAGATCAAGATGTTTTTTTCATTGGTCTTATGGAAACAAAAATCAATAGTATCAATAGATTGGATGTTGATATGCTCATTGGAAAAGATTGGGATTTCTTTCATTTACCCTCAGTGGGACTTTCTGGGGGCATCCTAGTTCTTTGGAACTCAAAAATTGTTAACTTTGTAGTTAATGATTCTTCTTCTCAAATGATGGTGGGAGATCTTTCTATCCCTAGTATGGGATCCTGGAGAATTGCTACTGTCTATGGTAGTAGGTGTTGCAAAGAAAGGGAAAGGTTATGGAGCTTGCTCAACAATTGTATGGATAGTTCTACTCCTTCTATCATTGGTGGGGACTTCAATTGTGTGCTTAACAAGGATGAGAAAAGAGGTGGCAAAAGGTTCCTTTTTTCTAAAGGACCTAGAGATATGAAGGAATTCATGACTAGCAATGATTTCCACGATGTGGGTATCATTGGACCAAGGTTTACTTGGTGCAACAATAAAGCAGGTAATTCTAGAATCTGGGAGAGGCTTGATAGATGTATTCTTAACTCTAAAGCCTTGAGATTACTTCCTACTGCTACTACTATACATCTTGCTAGGGTGGCTTCGGATCATAGCCCCATCATCCTCAAAATGATTGATAAAGTTCGGTTGAACTCCAAAATAATTAGATATGAGGACACTTGGAGATTGTATCCAGCGGCGAGAAGTATTGTATACCACTCTTGGAGAAAGAAGGATGGTGGAGAGGAAGGTTTGATTCTTCAAAAGAAAATTAATAGAACTCTAAAGGCATTATTTTTTTGGAGTAGAAGCAAATGCAAAGAACTTAATGATCTTAAAGTTAAGTTGAAGATGGAAATTCTGGATCTTCAAACTAAAGAAGCCTTGGGGAGTGGATGGACGGATCAAGACTTGCTTATGCTTAGAAGCAAGATACATGAGCTCAATGTTACCTTGAAGAGGCTTTCTACTTGGTGGAATCAAAGAGCAAAGGCAAGATGGATTGAAGAAGGTGATTTTAACTCCAAGCTTTTCCACAATTTTGCCACGGCTAGAAGAAATGGTAATAGAATTAACCAAATCAAGGATACTCCCAGCTCACGGGTTGGCCTGAAATTTCTGAAAATCAGAAACTCAACTTTGATGACCTAAAGGCTTTTAATCAGAATTTTACTGCTATGGAGCTCAAGGAATCAGTCTTCCAACAAGGCAATAATCGATCCCCTGGTATGGATGGTCTTACTTCCTCATTTTATAAGCACTATTGGGATTTTCATGATGTACTTACTAATATGATGGATAAGCTTAATGCTTGGGGAAGGAAATTTCTTTCTTTAGGTGGTAAGATCACTCTTATCACTAGTTCTTTTTTAACAATGCCTAATTTTTTGATTACTCATTCCATGATTCCAAAGAAAGTGTTGCTCACCATGGAAAAAATCTGTAGAAATTTTATTTGGAATAAGCAAAATGGTAGTTATGGCATTCACTACATTGCTTGGGAAAATTTATGTAAACCAAGAAGTATGGGAGGCTTAGGTTTACATTCTCCTATTATGAAAATGGGCCCTTTAAGAGCTAATCTTGCTTGGAATTTCCTTATTAAGCCAAATACTCTTTTCCATAGAGTGATGAGTTCTAAATATGGCAATGGTATCTTGAAGGATACTAATAATAAGAACTACTCTAAAGCTTGGAAAATCCTCCTTGATGGTGGTAAGTTTCTCAAGAACATTTCTAGATGGAGCATTGGAAATGGCAAAGATATCAATGTGTTGAATGACATTTGGATTTATGACAAATGTATCAACCAATGGCCGACTTTTATTGACTGTACAGCATTGGAAGGAAAATGTGTTCATCATCTTATGAAGAATGGCCAATGGGATTATTCTCTTATAGAGAAGTGGTTCCATCCTGAACTCTTGAATGCTATCAGCAAAATACATGTGCATCCCGACTGTGCTGACAAGGTGGAGCTGCAAAAAATCTGTCACGGTAAAACAATCTCGGGTTTTGCTTTTGAACAAGTATTAAATAGAAGATTTAATTTCATGGAAGAAGGTTATTACAAGTGGCTCAACAAACTCAAACTTAGCAAAAAGGTGGAAACGTTTTGGTGGAGACTTGGCAATGCTTCTATTCCAACCAATTTATATCTTAAGAACCGAAAGCTTTTTGATGAGGATGCTTGTGCGAGAGGATGTGATATGGTGGAAGATTATGAGCATATTAGTGTCAATTGCAAACACTTGGTGGACATCATCAATCAACTCAATGCTTGGGGTATTCCTATTCCTACTTTTAACTCCTTGGATCATTGTTTAACTGAACTTAAACAAATTTCTGGTAAAAATCTGGGAGTGGTACAGATTTATTGTACCATTGTTTACTTCTCTTGGAAGAATAGGAACGAGATAAAGCATGGAAAATCTGCTCTTCCTTATTATGCTGTAGCTGCTAATGCTTTATTTGTAGCCATCACTAAAGCTACGTCTTATCTTTCTTACTGGAGCACTAATCTCCTTAGGGAGTCTTCTATTTCTTGGTGCCCCCCACCGAAAGATTGGATGAAAATCAATATTGATGCTTCATTAACTCCTTCGGGACTAGCTAGTATTGGTGGAATCTTCCGAGATTGCTTTGGGAGATTCATTCTTGCATTTGGGAGAACATTGATATATTGGGATATTGCTCATTTGGAGTTGGATGCTATACTCTCGGTCAAAGATTATGTCAAAAGCTGGATGAAAGATTACAAAGGAGTCATTATTGAAAGTGACAATTTGAATGTTATCAAATACATTCAAAATTCTTTGAAGCAAGACAAAGGTGCTATGACCCTCAAGCTAGTAAGTGATTCTTTATTTGTAAGTGATTTCAATAAAGTAGTTTTTGTACATGCTCATAGAGAATGTAATAAGGTAGCCAACTTATGTGCTACTATGGCTCTAGATGATAGCTTTTACTTTGATAGTTTTTCTTTTGATGATATCCCTCCCTTGATGGTTAATTTAATCAAGGTAGAATATCATCCCCCTGCTGATTGTAATTAGTTTTTTTCCTATTAATGCAATTGCATTTTCCTAAAAAAAAAAAAAGAATCTAGAGTAATCATCCACAGTAACAAATCCGTATACCTTCCCTCCTAGACTTATAGTTCCAACTAATCCAAAAAGATCCATATATAAAATCTCCAATGGTTTACTAGTTCTAAGATCCTTATTGGACTGAAAAGAGGACTTCACTTGTTTTCCTAATTGACATGCATCACAAAAGTGGTCCTTGGTAAAATCTAGTTTTGGTAAACCTCTCATTATGTTCTTTTGGGTAATCCTCCTAAGGTTTTTTATGCTAGAGTGACAAAGTCTCCTATGCCAAAGCCATGATTAATCAGAAATAATTTTTAAATAAAAACCAGTAGGAGTTTGAATGCAATTCAAATCTAACATATACACATTGTTTACCCTTATACCATTTAAAACATCATTTCTATTTAGGCTTAATATGCAGCTAGTAGGAAAAAATTTTACACAATACCCTTTGTCACATAGCTGGCTTATACTTAACAAATTATGCTTTAAGCCTTCTACCAATAACACATTTTCAATATAATTTTTTTTAAGATTTCCAATCATATCTGACCCAACAACCTTCCTTGTGGTGTTATCTCCAAGTGTAACCTTGCCTCCACTCCTGGCTTCCAGCGATATAAATTGTACAGTATCTCCAGTCATATGCTTTGAACATTCGCTATCCAGGTATCATATGCTCTCACGAGGTCTTGTGTGAGAGCGACCCCCCTCTTCTTGATCTGACTAATCAAGATTATCGGTCATTAAGTACAAATTAGTGACTTCCTCTTCTTTTTCCGTCTCTGACGAGTCCGAAGCTGAGTCTGCCTAGAAAGATCTTTAGAATTTCTTCTTTCCCTTCTTCATAATTGTTTTCTCCTCTACTTTCTCCTTGCTAGGAGTGGCTTTGAGTTTTGGACAATCTATCTTAATATGTCCAGGTTTCCTGCACTCATAGCAAATAACAACATTTGAAACCTTGACATTCCTATTAAATTTACCCTGATTCCATTGTTGGCGTCTCTTCTGCTTCCTCTTCAGAAAGTTTTTGAATTGTCTAGTCATTAATACGATGTCATCTTCATCCTCAGGTTGTGAGTGTTCACTCTTAAATTCCTCCACTTTTAGTGCTATGTTCTTTTTCCTTCGTGGCTCACATGCATCAATCTTTCTTTGGCTAATTCCTTGCTCATAAGCAATTAGCGAACCAAGAAGATTGTCAATAGAATAAATGTTTAGATCTTTAGACTCTATAATTGCAGTAATTTTAGCATCATAAACAGTAGGCAAACAATGAAGAAGCTTATTAATAATTTTAGCATTCGTAAGTTCCCTACCCAATGCATGCAAAGAGGTGACTATTTATGTGAATCTTGTGTACATATCAGAAATAGATTCATTTGGTTTCCTGTGAAACAATTCATAATCATGCAAAAAGATATTAAGTCTAGATTGTTTAACCTCATTAGTCCCCTCATACGTTATATAAAGTCTATCCCATATGTCCTTTCCACTCTTACAAGTAGAAACTCGCATGTAATCTTCTGATTTAAGTGCACAAAAGAAACTATTCAAGCATTTGGCATTTAGTTGTGCTAAGTCACGTTCTTCTACTGTTCAGTCCATAAAAGGTGTTTCAACTCTAACTCCGTCAACTAGTCTAGTTGGTTTTGTATACCATTCATGAACTAAGATCCACATACGGTAATCAAGTGACTGTAAAAATGTAGACATGCATGTTTTCCAAAAATCAAAAGGAATATTATCGAACAATGGATGTCTAGTTATAGAGTAACCCTCAGGTTTATTTCGGTTTCCAATGTAGCCATCTACGTTAATAAAAAATTAGTCTAAACTTATGATTTTGAAACAACGCTCTAATACCATTTCTTGAAACTTTTTCAATAAGAATTAGGTTGTTAAACCTAAGCTTATGTCCCAGCGGCTAACTAAGAGGAGGGGTGAATTGGTAATTAAAAATTAATCCATCTTTTAAAAATTTAAAACAGAGAATTAACTTTAGTGAATTTAATAGAAAGAGATTTTTCAACCATAAGTTAATACAGTAAAAATTAAAAGGCAGCGGAAAACAAAAATACACAAGATTTATAGTGGTTCGATCAAACACGACCTACATCCACTCCCCGGAGGCACCCTCTAAGTATTGCACTAATATAACTAGTGGCTCTCCTTTTGCACCCACAGCAAGGTGGAGAAGCCTTTACAAAACTCTCTTCCACTATTACCCGGTGCGGTAGAGAACCGTCATCCTTTTACACTCTTCCCAATGTTAGCAGAGAACCATCCATCCTTTCACAGTCTCCCGGTGTAGGCAAAGAACCCTTCGTCCTTTCATACTCTCTTAGTGTGGGCAGAGAACCCTTCGTCCTTTCACACTCTCTAAGTGTGGGCAGAGAACCCTTCGGCTGTTCACACTCTCCAAGTGTCGGTAGAGAACCGGATCTCTTTGACAGATCTTATTACAAGAAATCTAGAAGAAAGAAAGAAAAGAGTGAAGTAATCAAAAATCAAAAGTAGAGATTCTTACCTTTGAGTACCAAGTGAATCTTTCACGCTCCAGTAGTAAGAATCCTCCTTCAAACACTCTCTCACACTCACTCCTTGAGTCTCTCTTCAATTGGCACAAATATCAGTAGGCAAAAAGATTAAGAGGCAAATCTAATTGGACTTTATATAGGATAGACACAAAAAATCATCCAAAAATTGCTAATATTCAAGTTTGTACATAGTGGATCGTCCCGTACGATCGTAGATCATCCTGGACAAACTTAGTTAAATCAGTTGCATACGAACCCAATGTATATTGGTACAAACTGACTTTGTACCCGATTATCGTCCCGTACGAACTAAGTTCGTCCGGTACGAACGGTTATAACATGGGTTTGTTTGACAAACTGTAGGAAGTTATCAAAATTGGAAATGTTAAAACATTTTCGTCCTGTGACGAATAAAAGTTTGTATGGAAAAAATTTTTACAGAGAGCATTTCATCCTGGGCCGAATAGGAACTCGTCTGAACAAAAAATTTCTAGAGATAATTTCATCCTGGGATGAATTT